TTTGGGAAAACTGAAAATGATCCCATCTTTTACCATGATCCTCGGCTCAGGATACCTGAAAGTAAGAGAAAACAGGTCAATATACTCTCCCTTCCAAATCCTTTCTTTAGTGGAAAGATGAAGGTGTGAACCAAGTGGTGTAGACATTCCAGCATAAGGGGTTGATTTAGCATGCCCAACCACTCCAGATAACAAAGGAGCACTCAAAGGGGACACCATAGAGGTGTTACTAACCACAGCAATTGGCTGACAATCCTGTGCCCTAGTGTCAGGGACCTGTGAAACTGCAGGTGCCTGTATGGGTGCATTCAAAGCCACAGGGTTGGGCCATTCCACACCCACACCCTGACTGAACTGGCCACCTGGAGCCCATACCGAGGTAGGCCAATTAGCATATGCAATATTAGGAGACAAACCTGAAACAGAAGCTTACTAGGAAGCATCACCAGCTGACCGCACCGGTCCCCCGAAGTGTGGCCCTGCAACAGCTCGGGTGTCCAGCAAAGAAGAGGCAGCAGCAGTTTGATCTCCTCTTTGCGCATCACGGGTCTGCTCCATTGCACCAGCACCTGGAAGAACCACTCCTCATAAGAGGTTATATAAATCAGCTACAGTAGGCTGCTCAGAAACAGGGGCAGCCGCACCCTGAGCCTCCATGCCAGTGACTCTTTTCAGGAGATCCCACACATCGGCAATAGTGGGGTGCCCAGCCTCCACAGCCGAAATCACCGAAGGACCCGGTGTAGCATCCATCACCTGAGCATCAGATGCCACGGGAGGGGGCAGCACTTCTGTGTGCTGATGGTTGTAGCTTGTAGCCCCTTCTGGGCAAGCTGATTGCAAAGTGCAATGCAAGCCTGAACTGTTTTGCCCAGTTGTACCATCTGGCCAGTAATCTCATCATCTCTGCTGGTAGACTGGGAAGGCCTCTTTGAAGCAGAGTGACCAGAGCTGGGCACAGCCAAAGTTGTGAGCCTCTTGGATTGGGCCTTACTACATGGCATCTCTCCTTCAGTGAGTGGAACACGGGTCCAAGCAAAATCACCCAACCATGGATGATTACCACCAGGCCAAAGGCCACCCTTCCCCAATTCTCAAAAGAGACGCAAAAAGCCAGGAAGTGTCACTGGCAACACCAACCAGGGGGGAAAGGTGTCCACCAAGGGTCCTATGCGGAGCCCTAACCTGAAGACAGATGTCTTCAAACACACTCACCGCTGGAGGGAAGTGTAGCAAACCTCCCAAACCAGCGATGGGGTCCCGACCTTAGCACACCGGGGGACGCCAGGGCACTGCTGGGCCTGAATCCAGTACCAGGGAGGATGCCTACCACAGAACCCTCCTCGGATGTACAACCCTCCGAGCATTGGGGATGTGAAGGCCCCACTCGGCCTACCGGATTGCTCAGGAGATCTACCTGAACACTCTTGCTTGTGAAAGCAAGAATAAATTAGCCACAAGCCAAAAAAGCAGCGAAAGCCACAAGTAACTTCTAGGCCAAAGCCGAGCAATAGCCAGAGCAGAGAGCAGAGCGATATGACTTGCTCAGTTCAAACTCTAAAATGGCTGCCTCCACATGGCAGCGCAGAGCTATAAAGAACAAACTCTCGTCCCAAATCTCAAGATATTAG